TTATTATTATTATTATTATTATTATTATTATTATATCTACCATTTTGATAAGAATCATCATTAGATTTCCACTTCTGCAGATTCCAAAAAGTATGCCGATCGTTTGGCAGGCAAGTGAGCGTGCGCCAAGCTAAGGCTGTGTGCGTCATCATCAGCGCCTTCTCGTCGATCGTCAGTGTCCCCTACGCCATTCTGTACGGGACGGAAACGATACCCAGTCCTCGAGCAGACATCTTCGGTTCCGAGTGCGGAATTGACGACAGGTTCACCCAAACAGTGTGGCCTGCGGCGTACTATTCTTGTATCCTCTTGCTTTTCCTGTCGTGCTGCATCCCTCTAGTGGTTCTGTACACTCTGATCGGCATTGTGGTTTGGCGACACAGTAAGCTCTATGGGGTTTCCGCTTTGCCTTCTGCGCAAGTGAAGGCCACTTCCGGGGGGAATTCCCCCTCGATCACTTCCGGAGCAGTGTCGCTGCCTAGCAACGATAGTTCGTCAAGAGGGGCTGCTGGTGCGTCCGGAGAGGATTCAGTTGAGATGACGGATTTAGAGAATGCTGAGACTGGTAATGTGAGACAGGAGGTATGCCGGGAATCTCCGGATAATACAAGGAAAGAGGAGAGTGATGTTAGCAGCGGGGGCAGAGGTATGCCGAAAACAACAGAAATGGGAAAGATTATGTTTTCAAGTGAACGTGACGGATCAGGTCAGCTCGGTCAAGGGAAACGTCGTCGTCACGATGGTGCTGTAGAGAGCGTGAGTGACCGTGAAGCCACTGACTCGTGTTCCTGTCAGCAGAACAAAGCTAAACAGGTCTCAGTGCCAACTGTTGAGAAAGTATTATCATGTAACCAAACACCCTCAGGAGAAATCTACATTCCAGGTCCCAGTTCGACTACACTCACGAAGAAGGAGAAAAAACAAAGCTGTGACGTCTCTGGTGACCCAAACAACAAACAGAACTACGCCAAAAACGACCCGAGAGGTCAAACAGTTGAAATATCTACCACGACAAGTCCTTCCAAGAAAAGAAGACAAGGAGGAGTGATCCAAATTCTGTCTCGGCGTGACAGCCAAAAGAAGTCCCCAAAGCTTTCTACTACTAGTACTACTTCTACCCTTGGTCAAGCCACGAGAAGGCCGGGCTTGGGAAAGACTACCATGATGCTCATAATCGTCAGCTTCATCTACATTATTGGCTTTCTTCCTCATCTTTGCGTCGTTTTTTTTCGATTTGCCTCCCCGGAAAAGTTTGCGGCCATGGGTACCATTGAACAGATCTTCTATAACCTCGCTCTGAGGTTCTTCTTCTTGAACAGCGCAGCCAACCCGGTCATTTACAGTCTGTGTGACCGAAACTTCCGGCTTGATTGTCTGCAAGTTTTTCAGTGCAAAAGAAAGATGAGGTAAAGCACCGAGAGTTAGATTAGAAAAACGACAGCTTTCATTGAGTTTCTCTTTGTCTGGGTGGTACATCGACAAGATGTGTAATACTGCATGCTTTTTTTAATAAAAATTGTTTTTCTTTTCTTGTTTTTGGTTTGCGGGTTGTTGTTTTTTTTTTGGGTATATTATGGATTTAGTGCCTAACATTGGTAATATATGAATATAATATTATAATGTGTTATAGCTTGTTCACCTTCGTCTTTCTACATTATTAAACACATCTAGCTCATTTGTTAATTTAACAATGCACACTAAATTTTGCATTTCTGCTACAAGTGTG